CGAGCACCGGGATGGCATTTCAACCAGAAGGGTACTTCTCTGCACGCTCACTCTTACTAAGGAAAAGCCCCCTCAAAGGGTGCTGCGCTGCCGTAGCGTGTCGCCTCTCACGCTGCATTCACCCTGGCTGTTCAACCGCATTCGCAAAGCGTTTGTGAACGCGGTTGCTTAAAGATCTAGTACAACTTCACGCGCATATGATGATGAAAACGAGCGTATCCGCTTCGCGGTTGCGATTCAAACGTCAGTGTGAATGCAGCTTTAAAATACTTACACAGTGGATGAAGAACGGCTTCACTAATTGTCAAATCCACATTGCAAACGATCAGATCAAATTATTGCAAAGAAGTTTTCCAAGAGGCGGGATTACCATCAAAACCCTACCAATGAGTAAGATAAAAAATAGACAATGATTAAAAACCCTCTGCTGGCCGGTATCATTATTTATTTTTGCATTGTGAGGTGTATCTAAAAGAAAATGGCTTTATTTAACGGTATTGTTGCCGTTGAAATGATATACGGGTGTACTCATGTGAACATAATTGAATTGAAACCGGTTTCCGCAACGTTGCTTTCAGTTCAAAGTTTACACAATTTATACAGCGGAGCTTTCGCCTGCGTCATGTCATTTCGAAACGATCATTAGGCTATAAATTCCTCTCCTCTTTGAGAAGGCTTCCTGAAGTAGGCTTGTTACGAAGTGTAAAGACACGAATCTAAAATAAACTGCAGTTGAATTCTACCTTTATGGTAGTTTTAATCGTACCTGCAAAAATGACGATGGTATCCGACTCACTGATTGAGCACAAGCACCTTGTCAGCACTCTTTCACTAGGGTCAACCTATTAGTGCGTCTGTGAAATCTGTTACATGAAATGGAGCTCACTTGCTATGGTACCACTAACTGCCGAGATATAGAAATATCGGGAACACATTTCAAACTTTACACTCACCTCGTTGCCTGCATCAACGGGTAGTAAAGCGCGCTGTTTAAATATGGTTGTGTATATTAGATGTGCCTTGATTTGGTTAATGCTGCTCGATTATTCTCTATTGTAATTGCAATCTACGTTTTGTGTTTTCAGCCGGTGAAAAGAAAGAGACGCTTCATTCCTCTCAGTTTTCGAAAAAAAGAGGCTTTCGGTAAAAAATCACCGTATTGCATGTTTCGATCAGTTACTTCATAAAGAAGAATGACTGACTACCACTGGAGTATTTAGAGAAAGAAAGCCTACTATCTCTCAGTTCCTCTTCCAGTATACCTATCTTGTTTCTGGATATGCGTAAACTAGTAGCTGGAAGGTAAATGATAACCCCAAATATGAACGACCTCGTTTTCTACGAAATAACAGATTACATAACAAGTATACATGAAACATTAGAGAAGATGTGGTACTCTGATTAAAAATTCATATAAGCCACAGTCCCTAATGGTACAAAACAAGACTTAGAAAGCGCCAAAATTATGCGACATCTGGAGCTCATTCTTAAACAATCGCTCTCAATGTGTTCGTCGGAGCCGCATTCTTTTTTGTATAGTTCGATTCTTCCCTTAAAATGCAAAGTAAATATTCTAGGGCTTTTTGATTCTTTCACGAAGCACAAATACTTTGTTTAGATTGTGTGAACTAGTGCAGTCGCCCAAATAAAGCGGAGCTCTGAGAAGGCTTGTACATTAGAAAATTCGTTTGGGGCCTCACCAACAACCATGGCTTCGCAAACCCAAACAAATGTTATTGGTGTTATTGATTTTCTTTTTTCTCTGTCCTTATTTATTTAATATAATGCCTTATATTAACTCTGTGTTAATCCAATGCTCCTCTTAGATACTTATCGGGGAAGTAAATCCCGATTTTTGAAGACAATGCTTGATAGTGAAGCCGATTTATAGTTAAGCTTTTTTATTAATAATATTTTGTTAGTATTGTGAACGTTTTCCTTGGGAATTTTTATTTCTAAATTTGTTGTTTTTCAAGATTTGTTATTTCATTTTAACGAGAGCTCGAAAAAACATGGGGCTTGTAACCTCAAGAGGATATTACGCGACTGTCTACATTACATAAAAAACCAATTAAAGTATGATCGGCTGTCTTTCAGATAAAAATAAATGCTAACTTATTTTCAAGGTGCTTTGGTGCACAACGTCTATTTGTCAACAATATAATTGGAAGCGCTAGTCAATTACGATATATTAAACTACATAAAATTGGACTTGTAATTGGTCTAATATTGTTGAACAATTTTATCAACTCGAGAACGTTTGGCGCTAGTATCGCCCCAGGTTGTCAGAACAACAACTGTTAAATATTACTTAATGATGTCCTCACACTTTTCATTCAATATATTTTTAATACTTTTTATGGCCCAAATTACTCTTGTAGTATCCGAATTATGTGGTGGAGACAGCGGCATCCAGAAGCATTAAAAAAAATAAATACGACACTGCTGGTCCTTGGTAGCATTGCCTAGATGCATAACCACGTGTAGTTTTGCTACTCAGATAAGTAAGCGAAAACAAGTTCACAAAATCGATGTACTCATTTTTTTAAATTCAAATATTTCGGATATTTAACAAATCGAAACGGCTGCATAGTCGTTTACAACTTACTGCGCACACAAAGAGTTTTACCTTTCGTTCAGGTTTACAGAAAGGTTGATTCTATAAACCTTTTACGAAAATTGTGGTCAAACATATCCTTCTCTTGTTTTGACAAACTTATGGATACCAACTGACAGATATTACTACGTTTAATGAAATTCTAAAGGTTTCAAACCAACAAAAAAATCTGCAACGCCCTCGACGAAATATTGACAATTAAAATGTAAGCTACATAATTAGCTCTATTGCACAACGAACATCGCAGCTCCACGGTGCTTGTTTAGCACTTAGTCGTTTTTGCGAAGATATCATAATAACATTGTTTAATTATCGTCACATCTTGACGAAGAGAGACCAAGAAGTAAGTATATAAGCTGCAAAATGCCGCTTTACAAGCCATTGGGTCCCTCACTTCCCCATCACAAAATAAACCTCTTTTTTTAAAAACCCTATCAAACAACTTTGGCGCTCGCTAATTTCTCGGGCACGATCTGTGTGATGGGGACCAGACACTTGTTAAACACTGACGCAGTCCTCGTGTCCTATAGACCTTTTCCGCTTGCTCTCGCCCCTGGCCGCCAAGAAGGCATATCGGGCATGGGCGACGAAAAAATATTAAAACCTGCAAATAATAAAAAATAGAGGGGAGACAAAACAAGAATGGGTGACGGTTACGCTTATCTCCTAAATGCATTCTATTGCCGTGGCGGCGGCAAAACAATGTTTTCGCCCATACTGGAAGTCACGATATTTCCAGATGGCGGCGCCCTTGTGAAAAAGGTCTATACATGCACAGAGTGTGTGTCCACAATTATGGCAGGTTCGGATAAATGACGTACATAGTAGCCACTGGGTGGCGAGCACTTTTGGAAACGGTATATTATGGTTAACGTTTTGGAACGTTGGGTGGAATAAAACGTTTTCAAAAAGATATAAAATTCTAATTGATTTGCGTTTTTTGATCGCCAGGCAATTACAGTCCTGGAAAACATTACCATCTTTCGTCAAGAAGAGCAGAAATTTATAATTTTGTTAATGTGACTCGTGTGATTTAGTGGAAAACAATGTGTAAAGCAGTGGAATAAAAATTATATCCGTTCAAAAGTTTAATTACTGCTTAATGATATTCTATGACTTTCATCGAAAATATTCTTGGGGAACATAGGAATGTTTTATGCAGTTGTTTTCGATGAAATTCTCCTCTTGGTGCATGTCAAAAGAAGTTGGAAATCTGAAGCTGCGTTTACATGAATGCGACTTAGTCCCATCGGATCCAGTTGTCGCATTCTATGACTGTCTCATGTAAACGGCAAAATGCGCTAGAGAAGCGCATCGCATTCAAGTCGCTAGACGGAGGTAGATCGCGACGGCGAATCTGCATTCATTCAGCCAATGTAAACAGAGATCGCATCGCATTTTGGAACGGGGCGAATTATGCGAAGGCGCTCGCTGCGGAAGCGAGCGAAGAACTGTGAACATGGCGGCGGCCATCCTCGTCGGCGGCGGCAGAGAGCGTTCCCGTGTGATCGCCCGCAGTTTTCTTCCGAGATTGGATTTAGAGGAACGCCAGCTTTTTTTTTTTTTTTTTTTTTGCCATCATAAGTGAGCGGAATATGGCTAAGCTTTTCGGAGAGGGCGGCTCCTGTCCAGGCCTTGCCAAGTACGAATGGCGTGCCCGAGGCAGCCCCTAGAGACTTCGACGCAAGTACGAACGGCGCCGTGAGCTCCGAGCACTGCATGTTACCGCAGAATGAGCAACTCCCACTTCGGTGCCGTTCTTGCCTCTGCCGGAGCCTTTCGGCCTCGGGGTCCTGTCATGGCTGGCGAGGCTTGGCGAGGCGAAGCGCGGTGGCGTCCTTAGAGCGGCTGGAAACAATCTCACTCTTCAGGGCGTGCGCACGCACGTCGCCTCTGATCCAGAGTGGCCCGGCGACCCGGCCCGAAGTCCAACACGCTTAGGTTTTGAGGTCTTTTCCGCCTCGTAACTTCTTGCACAGCATCCAAAACGGCGTGCACACTTTTTACGCTCGTCGAAAGCGTGAAGGGCCTCCACTTGCGAAGCACCGGAAAACGTCTTGACGTGGTGCGGCTGGTACCGGAAACGCAGCTTTAACTTTGATCTTTGACACGGCGTGGCGCCACCTTCGCGTAAGGCTCGCTACACATTCATGTAAACTTTGCCGTGTCAGCTTTATTCGAAGGACGATTGGAGTCGGTGCGCTGAGGTTGCATTCGTGTAAACCTGGCTTAAGCGCCAACCATCCCCAAATGAAGGTTCGGGCTCACGGCTCTCCAGTGTGGGATGCGTAGGCCGCAACTTTGCCTCGGAGTCGCAGGCGCGGCTAGCGTCTGTTGCGAGCTGAGAAATGAATGATCAATCGCCTGCCTCGTTCGCCCGCAGGGCGTCCCCCGCCATCGGTGACGTGGTGGCGAGGCTCGACACTGGTGGACGAGAAATTCGCCATGACTCCGCTGGACGTGGTGCGGAACGAGTTGGTCATCAATCGCCTGCAGCGAGCCGACCTGCTCGCCACGTTCACCTGCCAGGCCTCCAACACCAACCTCACGCTGCCCCGCTCCTCATCCGTCACCATCAACATGAACCGTGAGTGCACTCCTTCACAGGTACCGCTCCTCACTTCTGAGCGATCGAACGAGCGCTGACACGCGCCGCAAATTGATTTCACTCGCAGATGCAGAGAAAACAACATAAGCTTTTTTTCAACTCGATAGCTTTAAGGAGCTCGTGTTGCAGAAAAATCGGCGCTGGCGTCGGCGGGACCAGAACGTCCGGATTGGTCGATAGAGTCATGACGTCACAGCCACACCTCGCGCGGGAATTTCAAACAACTCACAACGCTCACTCAAAACGTGACGGCACGCTTGGAATTAAAGTGATTAAAACGTGACACGTAATGCGAATTAAAGGTCGCCGCATGCATCACATGATTTCACTTCATAAAGTAATTCATTTGCCTAAAAGAAAAAGTATTTAACAATTTTAGGAGGCCACGTACCCTTCGGTTGCGAGTCAGACGCGCTATGGACTAGGCCACGCAGAAAATTTTCTATTTCTTTATTCTAAAACACGCAGACGCGCTGGCACAGCTTTCGTGTTCTACTCTTAAAGGCGAAGCTTAAGCGCCCTCGAGTATTTTTTTTTCGTTTGTTTTGTAAAGGCCGTCATCTTAAAATTAGCTACACATGCGGGTGGGAAATCATGACGAAGCGGGTTTGTGAGACATGATTAGTTTATTTAGCGTGTTTTACAATAGTATTAAGGAAAAAATTGATCTTCATTTTTCTTCCCTTCCCCCAAAATAAGTTACCTGATCAAGGTGATCACCTAAATTCTCGTATTCGGACTTACTCTTCCACTTCTATATAATATTTATTTCTGTTTGTCATTTTGCGAAGTATTAGCTTCGAGGGAACAATAGTTACGTTCATTTAAAATGAAATATGCATCTGCTTCGGACGCATTTCGATGACCTTCAGAAAGAATTAAGGACTGCTGACTAGCGCATTCCAACTGGCAGACGCCGAGTCGGTGTCCTGAGCCGATTCCCCTACTCTACAAATGCATTTAATCTCCAAGTTTTTTTTGTTTTTTTTAACACCTGTCACATTGGGATATCCCACTATAATTTAATTCATTTAATTTTGAAATTCCCTTATATGTCCTAAGATATTACTTCTCTCTTTATTTATTACATTTATTGCTGATTACTGACAGTTTTTTTGGTTTCTTTTTCATTTTAAATATTATTAACGTCAATAAACTTCACTCACGCGAACATGAAATATTAGAAGCGTAGTAGAGCCAAGCCAAGCCTTTTTTTTTAACCTATCTTCAATTTATAAAACCGTCAGCTCGCTAGACACTGTCAACACACTATGATCGATCGATAATAGTGCTTATAACATAAACCGGTGTGCCAATGGTACACAAGAACTCAAGTGGCTAAGTGAATAAGCGTTTTCCTAAGGAATAAATTACCGAAGTGTGGCCAAACTCGCATCGCTCATCGTGTGTTTACAATTCCCCCCGAAAGGATCTACGCTCGTAACACAAGAATTACCCAACCACAGCGTCGGGGCCTCCACGATCCTCCAAATGACGCGGACTCGACTTGGGTCTTTCATGTCCCAGAAAATACGTCTGGACAGTCAAGATGAAAGGAACGGCACACCAAATTGGCTGCTTCCTTCTGAGCGCCACCGCCACGCGCGCGAGACGCCGTCAAAAACTCCGAAATACACAAGACTCGCAGATACGCTCTAAAGGCTAGCGAGCGAAAGTTTTTCAAAGACGTCCGGAGTTACAGAAGGCAGTCCTTCGTCTCGCAGATCAGTACGTATAAAAAAAAATAGTGTCGCGTATCGCATAAACGAGTTTTACTCTATCGAGAACGTGATGCAAGAGAGATTCGGGGGATCTATACGTCCCGTTTCTTTTGTTCCGACAACGAGACAGCGTTCCTTTTCTTAACGCAGCCATAGCACGCATCAACGAGGCGTCCTTTTCCTTTTTACGCATTACGAAGTTGAAGTTGAAGAATGGGGCTGTGCTCAATATACCCACCCCTTCATGAGGAGCGCGCTTAAGTCTCCGGTTCAGATTCTCCGCGACTCGGCGGGGCAGATTAAAACCTTACGTAAACGTGGAGTTATGTAAGAGCGCCCGGAGCGTCGGCTCGGAGGAGCCGACAGGGTATACAAGGCACGCTACACGCCCGCGCCCTCCTCTCAAAAGGATCGCTTTTGTCGTTTGATCACTTATTCAGAGGATGTCGTGCTTGCCTTCCATTACAAAAGCGACACGAGACACGTCAACGGACTGGCCACTTGTGAGGCTGCATCGGCTCTTTGTGTGCTCGAGTGGTCTCTGGCTTGTACCACGAATTAGTCGAGAGATCCGTATACTCGAAACAAACAGACAACTCCAGCACTACTATTTGATTCGGTAAAAGAAACAAGTGCCGTCTCGATTTCCTTGCCGTTGCGGTGTCGAGGGAATGCGAGGGTATCTTATGGGACGTCCATCAAGTAGACTTTCGTTCTTTCAAAATGCCACAACTCTTCAATGCACGAGCAAATGTTTAGGCGATCGAGGGCTTAGTATATTTCGTAAGTTTCCCGACGTTTCATTTGAAATTCAGCACACGTGACCTCAATGACCCAATATTGGCTTTCGCAACCATCAAAGGGTAAAAGGGCTTGAAAATGGCTTAGTCGGTACTCATTCATAATAATTCTTAGAAACAAAAAATCTCACGATAAACGAGGAACATGCATCAAAAACGAGGGTGCCTACCACTAGAAGATTGTTAAAAATGTAAAACTTCAATATACCTAACATTGAGAGTATAAGCGCTTGTCTATGATAAACATATTTATTTGCTCAATATTTTTTAAGTTTTTTTTTAAGATTGAATAGTTTTTTTATTGAATTTTATTAGCAACTGGAAAGGTTCAACCGAGACCGATTGCGAACGGGATGAAGAGAATTTCATTTAATTTCATTTCATTTATTAATTCCCCTTAAGACCCAAATGGGGGGGGGGGGGAAGGACATTGGCAAGAAACACAATACAATAATGCCACAAGAGGAAACGAATTAATTCAATGGGCGTATCACGGGTGCAGGTAACCAATAACAGCTTCGGCGAATTTTGAGGGTCCGTTACCGTGACAACGGCTTCTGGTAACATGTTCCAATTTTTAATGGCGAGCTGCAAGGGTGAAAACTTGTAAATATTAGTCCTAAGAATGTCTAGGTGAAGTTTGCAGGAGTCGTCAAATCGACGAAAAATGAAGGAGGCAGGTGGAGAGAGTGATAGAAACTTTTATGGAAGTAGTTTTAGTTGGCATACAGCTCTACGTTCTCTTAGAGGAGTAAGGTTGAGAATTTACTTCAAAGAGGTAACGCTTACAGAGTGGTTATAATTCCTTAGGATAAAACGTGCAGCTTTATTTTGGGTGGGTTCTAATTCTTTTTCAAGGAAGACTTGGTGGGGGTTCCAAATGGCAGAAGCATACTCTAAAATGGGGCGTATTAAGGCGTTATAAGCTACAAGTTTCGTTTCTTCAGATTCGAGATATAAAGTACGACGCAGAAAACCAAGAGATTTGTTAGCTTTAGTGGCTATATGATTGATATGACATTCCCAAGAGAGGCTACTGGTTAGGAAAACTTTTAGGTATTTATAATTCATAACGTTTTTTACACATGCGTTAAATAAAGTGTAATTGAATACAGAGGGAACTTGTTTAGTGCTGAATACCATGGACTTAGTTTTGTTAACGATGTTAACGTAAATTTTCATCTGCCATTACCGACACCAAGACTCCATACTAAAAAGGTCACCTTGCAAGGAAATACAATCTGCTATATTAGTAATTCTAGCATGCACAACACAGTCATCAGCACACAATCTTAAAGTTTAGTTAATACAATTAGGCAAATCATTAATATAAAGCAAAAATAACAATGGTCCCAGCACGGTTCCCTGTGGCACACCTGAGCGTACTTCCATTGATGAATAGGCCTGATTATGAAGAGAAACATACTGCGTTCTATATGTTAAAAACTATTCTACCCATCTTATAACGCCTCCGTCAATACGGAAGGAGAAATTTTTTTAAATTAGCCGGCAATGGGGGACTTTATCAAATGCTTTGGAAAAATCAATGAAAATGGCATGGGTATCTGTCCTGGCCTGTAAGCGTCTATGAATGTCTGTAGTTAATTCAAAGAGCTGTGATTCACATGAAAGGGACCACCGGGAACCGTGCTGGTTAAAAAACAGTAGATTATTGCAAGAAAGGTGATTCATTGTCTGTGAAAATATAACATGTTCCATCAGTTTACTAGGCACGCTAGTCAAGGAAATGGGTTTGTAATTTGTTAAACACATTTTAGACATGTTTTCGAACACTGGAGTTATTTTAGCATGTCTCCAGTCAGCTGGAACATCACCGGAATTAAGAGACTGATTAAACAAACTGGTTAATAAAGTACACGACATTTCATTTGTTAGAATGCCAGGCAGCAGGGCGAGATCCATACCTTCTATTTACAAGGTAAAAGTACAAACAAAATAGCAAACCAATGAGATAATTCCAATAAACTGAAACAAGAAAGGATTACGCTAGACTGTACAGTTCCCCGTTGGGCCAAGAGGCGTCCCAGTCCCTTACTGTATTATGTAACCCTGAGTGTTCGTTGCGTGGACGAACCGCAGAAGAGGTGCAGCTCATCGCAGCCACCTCAAATCCCATGATGGTGAAGAATGAGTAGTTTCCACGGTAGAGGGCTTGGACGTCGCAAGTGTCGGGCGAGTCCTGTACCATGTATCTTTTTCCAAAGATCCTCCTTCGAGCGAAACTTATACTTCCCTGGTCGTCTTCTATTTTCTCCTATCATACAACCAATACAACTCTGTTCCTTGCGGCCCGCTAAGCCCAATTCGTTTTTGTTCGCCACACGGGGTGGAACCGCAGAACCATGACAGCAGCACAGTTTTACTACTTCTGTTTTTTTGTATTTGTTTTTATTTCCTTATAGTATGAAGAGGTAACATTAAACTTCATTATTTTCGG